CACATACATTCAATGTGACCATCACTAATGAAATGGATTTTCTGTTCACAAAACTGTGTTTGGTGAATTTAATTCCAATCTCAATCCAGCTGACTGGAAGTAGGACTGAGTAAGCTTTTGAAGAAGGTAATTTTAAACTAAAAAAAGAAAAAAGAAGTCTGCTTTCACACAATATATAACTAAACCTTTAGTCGTTTTGCCTGAAAAAATAGTCTAGGACTCAGGCACCTGTTGCTCATAATATTCTCTGGGGCACTTTTTAAAAAAAGATTTATTTACTTATTGAAGGGGATGAGGGCAGAGGGAGAGAATTTCCAAGCAGACACCTGCTGAGCGCAGAGCCCAACACAAAGCTCGATCCTACCACCCATGAGATCAGGACCTGAGTTGGGTGCTTAGCCCAAGGGCCCCTCTGGGGACACATTTTATTTTATTTTTTTAAAGATTTTATTTTTTTGACAGAGAGAAATCACAAGTAGGCAGAGAGGCAAGCAGAGAGAGAGAGAGGAGGAAGCAGGTTCCCTGCCGAGCAGAGAGCCCGATGCGGGACTCGATTCCAGGACCCTGAGATCATGACCTGAGCTGAAGGCAGAGGCTTAACCCACTGAGCCACCCAGGCAAAAACAGATTCACGGTCCTCACTGAATGAGAATTTCACTGAATAAGAATCTCTGAGGACAGAATCCCCAAATCATAAAATCTTAAAACATCCCTGAAAATGCTGGTGTAGTCAGTCTAAGGACGGAAGTTTTGGGACCCCAGTTTTAGGGAAAAACAGGAAAAAGTTTAGGTCAATTCATTCATGATACTTTGATGTCAACCTGTGTTTTGGTCTTATATTTACAGTAAATTATGGGTTAACTTTAACAGATCATTTGCTTTGAGCACTTGCTGCCTCACCCTGAGGAGTGAATTAGACATTAGAAACAAGTGCCTTGATGTCATATATCTGCACATAAAAATACGAGAAAAACCCAAAGTAGTTAGAAGGCTCTGAGAGAAAGAACTCACAAAAGAGAAGGCCCAGATAAGTGAGGGAACCACTTCAAGCTCCAGATAAGGGGCAAACCACTCCACCGACATGGGCCTGGATATTTTCCATGTGCTGCTCTGGATCTGCTCTCCACCCTTCTCCATCCTCTTTGGCGCCTGAGAGGCTGACACATGGGAACTGCTTCTGTGGGTCCCCTGCCTGTAGCTCTGGTTCGATGAGGCCAATGGCAGAAAGACAGAGTGGGGCGGTGAGAGAGGGTGAGGGGAGAGCACTTGTTCCCGCTGACACCTCCCTGCCAGGCCACAGCAGCTCTCAGTGGACCCTATCCTGTGGCTTTCTCCCTGGGTCTGGTCATGCCCTCCCTCTCCTCACTCCTTTAGGCTTAGGGGCTGCGAAGTTTTCCTATCACTGCTGTAATTACCTACCACCAACCTAGTGGCTTAAAGCAACACTTATTATGTTATGGTTTTGTAAGTCAGGAGTTTAAAATGGGTTGGCAGGGTTGTGCTCCTTCTGGAGGCCTTAGGGGAGAATCCGTTTCTTTGCCTTTTCCAGGGTCTAGGGACTGCCCACGTTCCTTGGCTCGTGGCCCCCTCCAACCTCTGCTTCCATCATTCTATGGTCTCTGACCATCCAGCCTGTCTTACAAGGACTGCTTGGTTCCAGCCAGCACAGTCTTTGGTCCAGTCCATCTCAACAGAATATCTATCCTGTCTCACTAACAGCAGCAAATCAGATTATATCACTCATCTATTTAGGACCCCTTGGTGGGTTTCCATGACACACCAAATAAAGCCCATTTTCTTACTAAGAGCAGATAAGACCCTCCACGGTCTACTCCTGCCTATCCTCCTGGTCCCATCTCAGGCCCTCCTCCCTGTTAGGCTCCAGCCTCACCCATTCTCTTTGAGCTCTTCGAACTTGTCAAGCTCTTTCCTTCCTCAAAGCCTTTGTCTGTATTGTTCCCCTTCCTTGGTTCTTAACATCAAGTCTTAAATGCCACCTACTCAAGGAAGCCTTCCTTTCCTACTCCACGCAAAGTAGGATCTGACCTCCCCTTTCCTGTCTCACTTCCATTCTTCTCTGTCTCAACCCTCTGATTATTTCTTTGGTGACACTTACTACAATTTGTAATGATTCCATTTGTTTCTTTGAGTTTTAATGTATTCCCTACTAGATTGTAAATTCCACGAGCAGAAGGCTTATGTCTTATCTAATATACTCTCCCTACAGCCATTGAGTCTGAGGAAGCAGGCCCATAATGTCGTATTTGTTGGATGTGGTATGCGGCCATTTCTTAGACTCTAGGAGGCAATGGGTAATCAGGCCAAGACTGCAGGCTTTATGGCAGTGTGGGCCAGTTCCCTTCGCTTGTTTACCAACCCTCCAACCTGACCAGCTGTTACCATCACTGTGTCTCCAGCCCCACTACAACACTGCATGTCCTACAGGCACTGAGTAGAAATCCTTGCCGCCATTATTCGATCCACTAGCTACCTAAGAACACTGAGTGTGTCTTACATCAAGAAATGAGCAGCATCACCTACTTAATACTGAAGAACAGCATTATGTCCCTTATATGTGCGAACAACAGCAGAAATTCATTAGGATCCTTATTCTGGGCCGGGAACAGTGATACATCTGTTACACGCATCACCTCGTTAACGTTCACAAAAGCCCCATGATGCTACAGCATTCCGACAAAGTACAAGATTCTAGAATCATACTGATGTGGGTTCAAATGCCAGCTCCGCTACTCTTGTGAAGTTCCTTAACATCTCTGTGCTTCCATTTCTTCATGGGCGAAATGGGGGTAACAGTCGTTACCACATTTTAGCATTGTCGAGAGGAGTAAATGAGATCGTGTCTGTGATGTGCTTTGCTTGGTGTCTGGCACACAGCAGGCGCTCCATAAGTGCCAGATGCTGCTGCTGCTTCTTCTTGGCTTGCTCGGCCTACAGCACCCAACTCCGCATCCAGCCCAGGGAGAAAACGAATGGTCCAGGCTGAGCTCCTGCCCTTTGGCTGCACACAATCAGAGACAGCTGCAAGCGCATACTTAGAATTAGGGAGAAGACCGTCAATGTGTTCCTCCAAGGGGCTGCGTTCATTTTATGGTGCAAAGCACAGTAAACCCATGTTCTCATTTCCTCTTTCCCCGAAATAGCTATCTCTGCTCCCTGAAGAGGCCCTGAATTATTCCAGTCCCTTGAATGCCCTGAAATTCTCAGAAGAGAAGGAATGTTTTTTTTTTTAACGCAGGCACAGCTTGGAGCTAGAAATCAAAAGGTTAAATTCTCTTAAGCTACGACAATGTAACTCATTTCCTGTTTTTCTCAACTGTCTAGACACAGATCTCATAAGCATTAGCCATGAATCCCACCACCACGTTAAAAATAGAAGGTTTAAATATGAAATGCTGTGGTGGAGGAAAGATTGTAGGTTTCTACCTTCATCCACAAAATGACTACTCTGAAACGGGACTTCTTGTCTTTGGTGTCAGCTTACCCCTAAATTCTGTGATGCTGTATTTCAATGGCAGGAGTACAGAACACCGCTTTTTTCTACAGAATATATCTGCTCCTCAGTAAAGTGAATGCCATTTTCCCTCTAGGTTTGAAAAGCCATTTGAAAATGAACTTATGGCAGCTTCTCTTAACAAGGAATACGGTCACAATTTGAAATTTCCAGGTTATTGCAGAGACCAACATTTTGTCCCAAATCAATTTGTGCAACAGAAAAGCCATACATATTTTTTTTAAGATTTTATTTATTTATTTGACAGACAGAGATCACAAGTAGGCAGAGAGGCAGGCAGAGAGAGAGGAGGAAGCAGGTTCCCCACTGAGCAGAGATCCCCCCCCCCCCAATGCAGGGCTCGATCCCACGACCCTGGGATCATGACCTGAGCCGAAGGCAAAGGCTTTAACCCGCTGAGCCACCCAGGCGCTCTAAGCCATACATATTTCACATGCTAACCTTTTCTTCTTCTTATCTCTTCCCCTTTCATAAAGTTGTCTGACAAATGTTTTGTTCTGAAAATATATTTTTTTCTGGAAAATGCATTAAAAAAAAACCACTCCTGTAATAATCCCTGGGCAGCGTTACACAAGTGTGGGGAATCTACCATGACAAGTCTCCCAAATTTACTGGCCTACAAAGCCCTTTTATCATAAGCCTTTTAACACCTCCCCAAACACTATGCCATGGAATAGTTTAGGAAACATGCATTGGACACCTCTGTGATTCTTTCTGGTTTCAGAATTACATAAGGTTAGGCCTCTTCCCTGACAGCCTCAGCTATCTGAATTATAACATAAAACTGGAAGTAAATAGAACTGTTGACTCTGCAATGCTGTAATGGGCCTGTTGTTCTCTTTATCACTGGGAGGCAGATACAAGCCTGCCTTATAGACACTCATGCATTTACTTGAGAAGGATCGTATTCACCACGGCTTTAACGTTGGGACAGACACATGTTTAAATGTCGATGTGTGTGTGTTAGTACATATAAAAATAAGTCCCAGCTCTGTCCACTAAAAGGACCAAGAAGCAACGAGCACACCCACTACCAAGATCTTGGTTTCAAAATCGATACTCCGATAAAAGGAACGAACACTTTTCCGAAGGAAAGTTTGATCACAAGGCTGGGGCAAGGAAAATAGAAGATGAGCTGAGGGGGAAAAGGGAAGTGCCAAAAAGTAAGAGGTACTCATGAATGACGGAGCACGTTGAAAGATACAGGACCCAACGTAATTAAGCTCCTAATGGGCAAAGCAGGGACAATTTGAGCAACAAAATAAATAATGATAGTATGAAACCATAACCCATAAAATAAGATAAATATGCATAAGCCCATCCTAATATAAATATGTTAATGAGGGAGAAGGAACAACTCTTCCTGACAGAGAAATTACAATTAATAAATATAGAAGGCGCGAAGGACATAGAAAATCATCAATAAGCAAATATCACAGTAATATCTTCCCACCCCCCCACGCTTAACAGCCAACCATCCCAGTCATTTTCGTCCACTGAAATTAAGATAAACTAACTCCAAAGTATCCTTGAATGAGCAAATAACGAAAGCACAAAGGTAGGGGCAGAGAGGGGCAGGCAGATGGGAAGAAGGAAGACATTTTGGTTAGTTAATGGTTAAGAATACGCATGTACCCTCAGCTCTACAACTTTCTAACAGTGACCTGGGTAACTTCACCTTTCTGACTCTTTCTCCTCCACTGAAAAAAATGAGTTTAATTGTGTAGTGGGTTGAAGAGTGTACGCCCCCAAATTCACATCCACTCACAACTTTAGAATGTGACCTTGTTGGGAAACAGGGTCTCTGCAGACGTTAATAAATTATAAAGTCATACTGGTTTAGGGAGGGCCCTAACTCCAATGACTGGTGTCCTAATAAGAAGACAAGACACACAGAGAAACGGAGAGAAGTGTGAAAACAGAGAAAGAGATCCTAGTGATCCAATGGCGAGCCAAGGGAAAGACACCAAGGATCACCAGAAACCACCAACAGCTAGGAAGAGGCAAGGAAGGATTTTTCCCTGGAGTCTTCAGAGGAAAGATGGCCCTTGATTTCCGACATCCAGCTTCCAGAACTGTGAGAGAATAACTTCTGTGGTTTTAAGCCATCGCGTTTGTGATCGTTTGCTCTGGCAGCCCTAGGAAAGTCACAGAGTAAGCAATACAGAAGGCAAGGATATAAAGGGGCTAGCAGAGGGCAATTAATCATCTTTGAGCCACATCACAGCTCTGCTTTAGTCAGGAGGGAGGAGGAGGAAGGTCAGGCTTGATTACACTGTTTCTCAGCTTTAGATATTTTAGCTCTAGTTGGCACCCTCCCTGCCTTTTCCCTACCCACAACTACTCTGAGTCACTGCCCAGCTACCAGGAACTCTCAAATTCTGGAAAACAGCCTCCGCCGCTATCCATTCCAGGCGTGGGAGTGAGGTAAGACCCCAATCAAACGATAACACTACAGAGCAGTGCATACAGATTCAAACTGATCCTTCTATCTCATCAGCTAAAAAACTAGTCTCTGGATATGAAGTCCCTGTTATGGAATTGTACTCCCCAAAAAGATGGGTTGAAGCCCTAATCTCTCCAGTACCTCAGAACGTGACCTTATCTGGAATTAGGGTCATTGCAGATATGATTAACTAATTTACGATGGGATCACACCAGAGTATGGTAGGCCCTTAACCCAATGAGCATTGTCCTTATACAAAGAAGAGGCAGAAACACACAGGGAGAGGAAAATGATGTGACAGTGGGGACAGAGACTGGACTGATACATCTACAAGCCAAGGAATGTAAACACCAGAACCCAGAAAAGGCAAGAAAGGATTCCTTCCCACCAGTTTCAGAGAGCATGGCCCGATGATATGATTTCAGAATTCTTGCTTCCAGAACTGCGAGAATACATTTTTATCTTTAAGATGTATTTGTTTATTTTAGAAAGAGACGGGGCGCCTGGGTGGCTCAGTGGGTTAAAGCCTCTGCCTTTGGCTCACGTTATGATCGCAGGGTCCTGGGATCAAGCCCCGCATCGGGCTCTCTGCTCAGTGGGGAGCCTGCTTCCCCGTGCAACCCGCCCCCCGCCTCTCTGCCTACTTGTGATCTCTTGTCTGTCAAATAAATAAATAAATCTAAAAAAAATAAAATTTAATTTAAAAAAAGAAAACAGAGAGAGAGAGTGCACAAGCCAAGGGGTGAGGGGTTGCTGAGTTAGAGGGAGAGAGAGAGAGAGAGAATCTTAAGCAGACTCTCCACTGGGCACGGAGCCTGACGCAGGGCTCGACACAGGGTTTGAACCCAGGACCCTGAGATCATGATTTGAACTGAAATCAAGAGGCAGTCATTTAACTGACTGAGCCATGGAGGCACCTCTGTCGTTTTGAGCCAGTTTGTGGGGCTTTGTTTTGCAGGCCTGGGAAGCATAGATAATTGCTTTAACGAGGCTAAGTTTTGACAAAACTGCTCTCCAAAAGTTTACCTTATGATATATGCAGATACTACAGGTACCCTTGCAAGCGTCTGTGGTGGTTATTCTCTATTTACATATACCCTTCTCCATTTTCTACCCTTCTCTGCGGTCTGCAGGGCTGACTCCCAAGGACTGCAGTATCCAGGGTCCCTTGTCCTTAGTTGCTAGTTGGGTTTGGCCAATGAGAGACAACAACTGGGAATTTGAGGGTAGAAGACAAAAGGTTAGAGATTTTTGCTCTCTCTCTGCCTCAGTGTTCTGGCAATGTCTTCATCGCTCTACCACTACAGTTCCCGTTGGGCACCGCTACCCACTCTCCCCAGACATCTTCAGCTCTCCCTGAGCTCCATGACACATTTTCCTCCTTCTAGTGAAAGAGCTTCCCTCTGCTGCCGGTCCCTGAGAGCCTCAACATCCCTCTTGGTTCTCTCTATCCCTGCCGACTACGGAATGCATGTTTGTATCCCCCGATAATTCCTATGGTGAAACTCTAACCCACCATGTGATGGAGTTCGGAGGTAGGCACTTGAGAGGATTATAGGTGTAGATGAGGTCACAAGGGTGGGGTCCCCTTGGTGGGATGAGTGCCCGTTGAAGAAGAGAGGCTAGAGTTATCTCTCTCCATATGGGGACAAAGAGAGAAGGCAGTTCATCAACTCATCAAGAACCAGTTGGCTGACACCTTGATCTTGGACTTTGCAGCCCCCAGGACAGTGAGAAATAAATGTCTATTGTTTAAGCCACCATGCTATAGTACTTGTTTTCTAGCTGCTCAAGCTAAAATACTATCCCACCTGGGTATATGATCCCTTCATTAAGTCCTCTTCAAAACCCCAGGTAAATATGCCTTAGATTTCCTTCCAAGACCCTGACTAACACAGTGACCATGTTACAAAACCAAAGCCATATAAACCTGACCAAGGCTAAACTCTAAGGGCAATTCAAAATTGGAGTTGTCCCTTCTTGGACACTGGATTCTTAACTACAATAATTAACTAGTTTATGAACTGCAAGGGTTTGTTCAAGTCCATCCAACCCAGAAAACTACCTTTGACAACAACTGAAGAAGTGTCTTAACTCTAGGTTCTAGGAAGACCACAAAATTATGCACTAAAAATTACTGAACCCAACATTCTGCAAAATACATGCCCAATTCTCCTCAAAATTATCAAGGTCATGAAAAACAAAGACAGACTGAGAAATTGTCACAGACCAGAGGAGACTAGAGACATGACAACTGAATGCACAGTGGTATCCTAAATTGAACTGTAGAAAAGACAAAGGACATTGGTGGAGAAAAACTGGTGAAATCCAAATAAAGTCTAGAGCTTAGTTAATGGTAATGTACCAATGTTGGTTTCCTGAGTTTGGGTTTTGGTTTTTTGTTTTGTTTTGTTTTTGTTTGTTTTGCTTTGGTTTCTTAGTTTTGACAAAAGTACCATGATAATATAAGATGTTAACATCAGGGGAAATTAAACGTGGGTAAGGAGTATCTAGGAACCCTACAACTTTTCTGTAAATCCAAAATATTACAAAAGCAATAAATAAATAAATGTAATAAAACTTTATTCCAAAAAGTGATTAGCCCCACGTTATGGAGTGAGAACTATATGCAGGTCAAGGGACAATTCATTTAAGCATACATAATTTGTTTACGACAAGGAACCGGGTTCCTTATATAAATTTGATATGCCTCTCCAAGGATATTAAAAACCCTTCAAACAGAGCTGGGAGAGGTTGTGCTGAGAGGAGTTGATGCAAAAGATACTCCAGTCACACGTGCATACCCCCTCCATTGGGAAGAAATAAAACACCCAACCAAGAAACTGCAGAACAAAGCATTACCTTAACTCCTACACAATTGCCATTGTTCCACCCAAAAGAAGGTGCTATTGAATGTCTCAGTGGCTTGCAAAAGCAGTATCTCTTTTGACCCTATTTTCTGTATTTCTGGAGTGGAGCACTTAGGTTACTGAAATGACAAAACCTTTGGTTTCCACCAAAGTGGAATGCCCCTGGGTAGGTGCTAAGAAACAGCCCCCCAGAGAGCAGCTCCAGATGGACCACGGACTCCTGCAGACACCTGGACATAACTCCCAATCTTTAAGTTCTCCTTCCTTTCATGAGATGATGTGTCCATCACACCAGGTATTAGCCCACAGCAAAGAGCAGTGGACACAGAGGGTCCCTGGGGGTCCTGGTAGGAGTAAGTTCACATGGGCCCTTGAGGGAGGGCATGGAAAACATCTCACAGTCGCTTATGCCTCTCCAAACTCCTAGCAGAGCGAGGGCAGGCATACATCGTTTTGTTGATGCTGCTAAAAGGTAATGAGATCCTTCGCAGAAATATACACAGCAGGGACTTGTCTCTAACACACACCTGGATTCCCCGGGCCTGGTTAGTGCAGCCACAGTAGGCCCTCAGTAATCCCTGGCGTGGTGAAGGAGCTTGTCATCAACAGCTACCCCCAGGCACTGATGACATCTTAAGAAAAAGTGTTACTAGGTCCCCATCCAATAGTCTCAAGATTTTATTGACATTTTTGTATTTTTACTTTGATCTCTCTATCTCATTCAAAACTCATGCTATGCCCCCAAGTCTGCCTTACAAAGAATGTCTGTAACTTCACCATTTTTCTATCTATAAAAAATAATAATATTTGATGATCTTTGACAAGGTCGCCAATACCACTTAATGGGAAAGGAACAGTCTCTTCACAAATGGTGTTAGAGTTGGTGCTGGATATCTACAAGCATAAGAATGAAGTTGGACCCTTATCTTATACAATATAAAAAAAATAACTCAAAAAGGAATAAAGATTTAAATATAAGACCTAAAACTCTAGAACTCCTAGAAGAAAACACAGGGGGAAAACTTAGCAATGACTTTTTGGACACAACACTAAAAGCACAGGCCACAAAAAGCAAAAATAGACAAATGGGACTACATCAAGCTTAAAAATGTTTGTGCATCAAAGTCACAATCAACAGAGTGAAATGCAATCCATGGAACAGGAGAAAAGATCTACAAATCATTTATGTGATCCTTTAAGGAGTTAATATCTAGAATATATAAAGAACTCTAACAATTCAACAATGAAAAAAATCAAATAACCTGATTTTATTTTTTTTAAAGATTTAATTTATTATTTGACAGAGAGAGAGAGAGATCACAAGGAGGCAGAGAGGCAGGCGGAGGGGGGAGGCGTAAGCAGTTTCCCCGTGGAGCAGAGAGCCCGATGAGGGGCTCAATCCCAGGATCCTGAGATCATGACCCGAGGCAAAGGCAGAGGCTTCACACAATGAGCCACCCAGACGCCCCCTCCAATATCCTGATTTTAAAATGGACAAAAGTCAGTGCTGAAAGTCTTCAGAGAGCAAAGAGGAAAAAAGAAAGAAAAAAGAAAAATAAATAAAATATAAATAAATAAAATGGACAAAGGACTTGAATAGACTGATGTCCAAAGATGATATACCAACGGCAACAAGCATATGAAAAGATATTCAAATCACTAATAATCCAGGAAACGTAAGACAAAACCACACTGAGATATCACCTCACATCCATTAGGATTGCCAACACTAAAAAAACTGTTTAAACAAACAAACAAAAAATAAAACATAAAAATACAAGTGTTGGTAAGAATGTGGAAAACCTGGAACTCTAGTATGGCGCTGGTGGGATTGTAAAATGGCATAACCACTAAGGAAAATGGTATGGAGGTTCCTGAAAAGTGAAAAATAGAAATATCACACAACCCAGAAATCCTACTTCTGGATATATATGCAGAAGAATCGAAATCAGGGTCTCAAAGAGTCAGGGTCTCATAGCAGCACTGTTCACAATAGCCAAGAGAGCAAAGCAACCCAAATACACACCAACAGATGAATGGGTAATCAAAGTGTGCTAGTACATACAATGGAATATTACTCGGCCTTGAAAAAGGAAGGAACGCCTGTCAAGTGCTACACAGTACAGATGAACATCAAAGACACCATGCTACATGAAATAAGCCAATCACAAAAAACACAAATACTACACACTTGCCTTTATATGAGGTATCTAAAGTAGTCAAACTCAGGAACAATTAGTAAAATGATGGTCACCAAAGGTCAGGAGTGGGAGGGAAGTATTGTTCTTCAACGGGTAAAGCATTTCCGTTTTGGAGGATAAAAAAGGTCTGCAGATCTGTTTCAATCAATGTAAATATACTTCACACCATGGAATCATATACTTAAAACTGGTTAAGATAATAAATTTTGTGTTACATAAAACACATGCATACATAACTTTTCAATTAATTTTTTAATTCATTGATACCTGGCAGGAGAAGAGGCATATTTCCTACCCTACTGCTTTGTTTGGAGGCCATTCCAGAATCTTTGTCTCTCCCAAGGTCTTTTCTCACCTCATCTCCTGACCTCATGGCCACCTCCTTGTTCCCAGTCCCTTGCTTCACATGTCACCTCTCGCAGCCCTGAACCTGTCCCTTGTATTCACTGTTCCTCTGGCCTTCACCAATCTCTCTCCCTTTCTTCTTTGCCTGCAAATCCTACAGAATTTGTTCTTCTTCTAAGTGGTCTGAGAAAGCCCTTAGAAGCTGCATATGAATAGCCAGTGATTAATTTATAAAGATGGACCCTTAGCAATATTCTATACTCAAGATATTAGTGCCAAGTTCAAAGAGATTGATAAAACATCGAATGCAAAAATTTTCATATTATAAAAGCACTCTAAAAATTATTCCAAACGTCAGGTAGAATTTAAACCTCATTACATTAGCAAACAATCTTATGATACTATCCTGTACCACTGAATATATGATAAAAGTTTCATACAGTATCTGGTGGGAATATAAATTGGTATGAACCTTGAGAAAAGCCAATTGGCCGGGTGCCTGGGTGGCTCAGTCAGTTAAGTGTCTGCCTTCAGCTCAGGTCATGATCTCAGGGTCCTGGGATTGAGCCCCACTTCTGGCCCTCTGATCATCTGGGAGCCTGCTTCTCCCTCTCCCTCTGTTCCTTGTCCCCGCTTGTGCTCACAACATCTCTCTCCCTCTCTCAGATAAATAAATAAAATCTTAAAAAAAGAAAAGAAAAGCAATTTGGCGATATGTTTTGAAAACCATAAAAATATCCTTGCCTTCAACCTATTAACCCCATTGCCAGGAATTTGCTCTAAAGAAATCACAATATAAAAGAGGGAAAAAAAAGGCTTATGTATACATGTTTATTTCCAAGTTATTTCTGTACCACTGTGCGGACATTATCAAAACACACTGTCATTTTTCTCCCACCATCCCTTTAAAATGTATTCAGTGTGGGAGGCAGGGGAGTATCAGGAAGAAGAAAGGAGGTTGTCTTTGATTCCAGAGGAGAATTATCGCAGGATCCTGCCTGCTCTGATCACGTTCCAGTAATGACACTCTAATGGTCACATCAAGTCACAGACGTGGTCTTCATAGAGTAATTTGATGTGTCATGACGTGCATTATATCAAGCAACAATTCCGGTTTCATTCCAAAGATTCTCCCACTTCTCAGCTAGAGCCATCCGGTTCAGTGAGAGCAGCACGGGAAAGTGGGGGCTCGTATGCAGTCAGCTTCTCTCTCCCAGCACCCTTTCACATCTCCTCCCCCACTCACTGGCTGCTGCTGTTTTGATTGCCTCTTCGAAATGGGTGGAAGGCAAAGAGGTAAGT